GCGTGTCCTCAGAGCTGGGTGAGATTGCTTCGTGCCATCACGTAGCGTGTCCTCAGAGCTGGGTGACGCCATGGGCACCGGGACAGTGGTTCCCAACCTTCCTACTGCACGACCCTTCAGTACAGTTCCTCATGTGGTGGTGACCCCCAACTGTAAAGTTATTGTCGTTGTTATGACATATCTGTAATTTTGCTACTGTTTTGACCGTAATGTAAATATCTGATATGCAGGATATGTTTTTATGTAACAAATTGAACATATTAAAGCATAGTGATTAATCACAAAAACAATATGTAATTGTATATTGTGAAAGTTATTTCTAATGACGAATAAATGAGTTTATCTTGAAGCATGGTGTGGCATGGGTAACAGTTTTCACACAGGGTATTCATATGTGGAGGTATCTTCATGTGGGCAGACCCACCTGGAGATGGATAGAGGAGCGGTTTCTCGGTTCCTAAGAACATCGGAAGTATGTGTTTTCCGATGGTCTTCGGCGACCCCTGTAAAAGAGTCGCTCAACCCCCAAAGGGGTCGTGACTCACAGGTTGAGAACCCCTGCACGGGGAGCTTCGGTTCTCTTTGAGGGAGGCAAAAATAACAGAGGCTGAGAGAAGGGGAGTGCTGCTCTTTTATAGAATGTGGGCGGAGGAGGCCTGTCCAACAAAGGGCACACGAACAGAAACGCGAAGAAGAAAACGGGAGATTGACTTTCCTCTGGTTCCTCAATGCTTCCCCCCCCCCCCACTCTCATGATCCGAATTCTACCTTGAAGTCTGGCTGGACCAGAGGATGCACACTGGTACAGATAGGAACTGGAAACACAGGGAATCCAGGGCGGATGATCCCTTCAGGACCAGTGGTGTGAGTGGCGCTACTTGGGGGGCAGAGGGAGAGTGAGTTGGAAAGAGGGAACCGATTACAAGGATCTATATGTGACCTCATCCCTGGGGGACGGACAACAGAAAAGTGGGTGAAGGGAGACGTCGGACAGGGAAAGATATGACAAAATAACAATTTATAAATTACCAAGGGCTCATGAGGGAGGGGGGAGCCGGGAGGGAAGGGAAAAATGAGGATCTAGTGCCGGGGGCTTAAGTGGAGAAGAAATGTTTTGAGAATGGTGAGGGCAATGAATGTACAAATGTGCTTTGCACAATTGATGTATGTATCGATTGTGATAAGAGTTGTATGAGCCCCTAATAAAGCGATTAAAAAAAAAAAGAAAGAAAAGAAAACGGGAGATTGAATCCTGCACCATTGTGGAGAACGGTCTAGCCACGGGGAACAACAGGACAATGTTCCCGCAGTAGAAGTGCGTCTTTGTTTGAGAACGGAGAGAGGGAAGTCAGCGTGGCCAGAGCTGAGTAGATCAGGAGAAAATGGGAGGAGAGACCCATTGCGAATTCACAGCTTTGATCAGGGAAATATGATCTGACCTAAATTGTGTCACGCACAACTTTGCAGCTGTGTACAACAGAGTCTGAGGGCAGAGAAAGGCAGGGTGGAAGTCGGCCCACCCTTTGCCGTGAACCAGATGAGAAGTGGTTAGGTGTGGGTTGGCGTGGTCTGGCAGTGGAGATAGTGAGAAGTGAACGTATTTTGAATCGGAAAGAAAAGGGGTTTTCATGGAGATTCGGTACAAGATATGAAAGTGAGTCAAGTGTGGTATCAGAATTTATGGCTTGCCTGTTGCCGTTCCTAAGACGGGCGGGCTTATGACAAAGAGCAGGTTGTGGAGACAGAAGGGAGATCATGAATCTGGTTGTGGCACACTGGTTTTGAGATCCCTGTAGCAGCAAGTTGAAATAGGAAATAGGTGTAGTTGAGTGCAATTCTCATGATAGGATATCTAGTGATTTCCTGAGAGAGTATCAATCTCAAGAGGGAGATCTCTGTGGGTGCAGTGGTTTACACATTGGGCTGCTAACCATAATGTCCGCAGTTTGAAAGCAACAGCCCTCCGATGGAGAAAGGTGCGGCTTTCTACTCCCACAGAGTCATCGGTTCGGAAACCCACGGGGGCAGTTCTACCCTGTCGCTGTGCGTTGGCATTGACTCGATGGCAGTGAGTTTGTTTTTATCTGGACTAGAGGTAGTTGTTTGGGGGTTTCCTCAGTAAGGAGAATATTAAAAGCTATGTTACCATCGAATGGATAGTGTGGACAGACAAGTTCAAGGACATTTGTACATTCAAGAGATGAGAAAGAGAATCAGCGAAAGCACCAAGGCGGAGAAGCTGGGATTGTTGTTGAGGTCAGACAGTCTATAGGATTTGATTTCAGATGTCTTTAGCTAAGTTAGGGTAAAAGCCAAGCTCACGGATGGAATTAAAAAGCCAGGTTTCAAAGCAATCATGAATGTGAAAGTTGAAATCTTCAGCATGGAGGCGGCAGTAGTATTGACGAACATGGCAAAGAAACAGGACAGCCTACAGAAACCCACAGGGCTCAGGAGGATGGTCATAACCAGGACTGTGGTGTGATGGTGGTCTAAAGCTGTAAGGCGCGGGCGGGTTTGCCGAGGAGGAAGGGTGATGACCTGGAATAGCCGTGAGGAGCTGCTCCAGCTCTCTTTGAGGCCAGGCGACATAAAGGGTGGAGTCCTTTGAAGGTCCTTATAGAAGCAAAGCCCTAAAAAGCTGCTAGATTTTTGTGAGAGCAGGAAGTTAAAGTACCTTCAAAGAAAGAGTTGAGGAGCTGGGCGGGCTGCCAGGGATAGACCATGGCCTCCAGGGGGCAGAGTCGAAGCCTGGAGGAGGCCGGGCGAGGGCAAGGCAGCTGGGCACCGGTGAGAAGCAGAGCCGTGAGGGCACCCGGAGCTGCTTGTGCTGAACTCTAGAGGGGTGTGATGGCAGTCTGATGAGCTTACCCCACCCACCCACTGTCTCCAAGTTGATTCCAACTCAGGGGGACGCCGTAAGACAGAGTAGGCTTTGAGACAGCAAATGTTTGCCAGGACAGACAGCCTTACCTTTCTCCCTGGAGTGACTGATGGATTTGAACCCTCAGCCTCGCAGTTAGCAGCCCAATGTGCAAAACCCATCATACCAGTCCTGAAACTTTCCTAGGCAATCCCAAGAGTAAGCAAGGGATGAGCTACCCCTGAGCCCCTCTTCATTCATCTCAGCCTCCAATTCGGTTAATTTTACTTACAAAAATTATTGAGTGGAGGTTGGGTAATGAAACTCCGTAGTCATTTATTGATAGGACTGAATAGCTAATTAATTGTTTGACCTTATTGAACTAGGAAAACTGTATAATTTGCTTTTCAAACTTTTCATTTTATGTAATATTTTGGTTTTGATGGTTTATTCCATTTAACTTACTAAATACTTTTTTTTGCCTATAAAATGATTTCTGTTGTTACTTCCTAAATTAAAAAAAAATGTTTTGTGTAATTTCTGTTTGTTTTCCATTGCAGGCACTTTTTCACGGAAAGTTTATCGATACTGGTTTCTCTTTACCATTCTACAAGCGTATGCTAAGTAAAAAACTTACTATTAAGGACTTGGAATCTATCGATACTGAATTTTATAACTCTCTTATTTGGATAAGGTTTGAAGATTTTTTTTT